TTATCCTGAAGTTAAAAATGAAAGAGATTATAAAACATTGTATTTCAAATGATATTATAAGATGTGTGGGACTTCTGTACTAAAATGCTTTCTTTCTCTCACCGTATCTGTTTGTTTTATTTTCCATTCCACCAACTCCCCCGCCCCCACGCCTCTCACTGATATGGGTCTAGCATCTCTCTAGGATACATATTTTAGAGTGTAAGACTCCCTGCAAATATCAAGCATCCTGATAATAACCTTTTAGACCATGATCTCTTGCTCATTAGTCCTACCTTTTTCTGCAAAGCAGAAAAGGATAAAGCACAGGGGAAAAAAGGAGGTCACCAGAAAGAAAGCCAGAATGGAATTTGAGACAAAAATATAAGATGTTTATTCCAAGCCTAATGAGGCAAACCACACTTGGGGGAAATGGCAATTACAACTTGACGGGAACAGATTGGAGAAGCCATCGCTATTGCTGCACACCCACAGTGTTTCTTCCTGAGCCCACTTTCCCCAGGAGCCAATAGCCACTGGAGACCAGCCCCGGGCTGCCAGTCGGCAGCCTTGGAGAAAGAGGAAGAAAAGTCATTCCCAGGGGCCCAGACCTTTCCCAGAGCTTCTGCAGGCTCTGCCTCTTCCATCATCGTTGCCTCTTCCTTCCCTATAGGAAGACAGGGAGCATGAATGAGAAATAAGCCTTTCTGCAACATGACACTAAGATTAAAGGATACTGTTACTAAAAGCATAATTGAGTTAGTCCTCTGAAGAATCCTGGTTGGAGTGTCAAGAGGCAGCTGGGTATACTTACCTTAAGAGGGAGGTCTAGCCTAGAAACATAAGTTGAGAGTCACTGGTGCATAGGTAGCCGTAAGATACAGTAAAGGGAAGAGACTAGAAAGGGTTGCAAGAATGGAGTCCTGGGGTATCCAGTATTCAGAGGTGGTGGAAGGAGGAAGCAGAAATGGGAGCTTAGAAGGACTGGAGTGTGTGAGAAAACAAAACCAGCCAAGTGTGGTGACCTGAGCACCAAGGGAAGAAATAGAATACCAAAGAGAAATGGTGATTAATGGGCCAATGACTATGTCAACTAACCAAGACGAGTATTCAGCAATGACCAACAAATTTGGCAAAATGGGAGTCACTGACTGTCCCACCAAAGGCAATTTTGTTGGTTAACATGGGGGAAAGCCAGGTTGGGTTGAGTTTGATTTAAAAAAAAATGGAAAGAAATGGATACACTCAACAAACACAGCTCTGTGAGAGGACATGATGAGGAGATGAAAAGGAAAATTTGGTCACAGCTGTTGGTAAATAGGGTCCAGGTACCACATTTGAGGTTAAAAATATATTGTTTGTATGTTATAGGAATATATCTGATAGGGAAAATACATCTAAAACAATCTAAAAGAGAAGAAAAGAATTTCTAAAAAATCTTCTGCAAATTACCTATGCACCAGTGACTCTCAACTTGTGTTTCTCGGCTAGGCCTCCCTTGAAGAAGCAAGAACTGCTGAGATTCAACACACAAATGGAGGGATTGAAAGACATGAATAGGTGAGAAGAAAGAACATTTAACCAGAGTCTTTCATTCTAAGTTTAGTGAACTATCAATGATACCTTGATTCAATCCATGGCTTTTCAGCCTTTTCCAGTTTACTCCAATAGTAGTGCTCCAAGAACTGCAGATTTACACCTATCATTTTTTCCCCTTCAATCTCAAATGTGATTCAAGCCTCTTCTGGCCTATTCAAGCTGCTTAGAAATAAGGTAATAGGATTAGACCTAAGATTCATCAATTTCTTAGTAGTTCTTCTAATTTGGAAGATAGGAAAGAGTGCTAAAGGATGATAATAGAAATTACCTCCCACATAGGTCTGTGGGTGTGAGGGAGGGGTACTATTCAAGCTGATTCCATCTTAAGATATGGATTCCAAGTAATTGTTTGCAGAGCCGTATTTGGTTTCTTCTGGGTCTTTGGGTGACTGAGGAATGCCCCCAAGAAGCTGCCGTATCCCCCTTGCCCCTGGCAATAGAACCACACCCAAGCTCTTCTCCAGGTTAGGAATGCCATGGCTTGGTTCATCTTTCCCCAGGGTATTTCAGGACTCTATCTCTTCTGCCATTTTATTCTCTACTTGGACTTTTTCCCACAACTTCAGAGCTACAAATCCCTGAACTTAACTTTCTATGATTTATTTGTGTTCATAGTTGCCATCTGATTGTAGTTTGCATATTCATTTTTAATATTGTCTAACTCCCCAACTAAATTGTAAAAATATGAATAGGGATATTTGTAAGATTCACTCTGAAATCCCTGTACCCATGAGTGCCTGCCACCTGGTTGATGCTCAATTAGTATTTGTTGAAAATGAATAAATAAATTAAGTAGGAACTTTTTCCTGAACACACTGTGGCAGATTACTACAGAAATGGTCCCAATGAAATCTGTATTCCTGTGTTTTCAACCTTCCACTAGTCCCTCCCACATTGAATCTAGACTTGACTAGCTCTAACATAAGTTTGTGCTGAGGGGGTTGTCTTTTTTTTTTTTTTTTTTTTTTTGCTGCTTTTCAAACAGGAGTTCTGAGATTTGACGAAATACAATTTCTTTTGGTGTGTCCCCAATCCCATAAGTCATTGTGGCAGCTGTTGAAAATTTTTTCCAGAATCCATACCCATTCCCCAAGACGACCTTTGAAAATAGCTGAGTTGCTTCAGCACTCCTGTCTGTGTGCACACAGGAATGAGAGGGAGATTTCTCCTGAACTCTTGACCTATCCAGGGAAATTATGTCTTTTCCAAGGAAGAGTGAAATATTCAGTGGCCAGACATGGAGTTGAGGGATGGAATTTGTAGCTTCAGCATCATCAGACCTTGATAACCACTTTGCTCTAAGAGTTTTTCTGTTCCTCAATGGCCTCTGTGGCTCTGAAGCACTACAAGCTTCATGTGTGCTTACACACACACACACAACACCTGGTGGCTTTTCACACACACACACACACACACACACACACACACACACACACACGACATCTGGTGGGGTTTATTGAGAATGCCTTCCATTTGTCCATCAGTTCCCTATATCCATGTTACTCCCTTTCTCCAAACAAAAATGTTCACCAGGGAAATCATACTCTAGCATCCTGACCGCACGGAATTAAAAACCTGGCCTGCCATGTTAGCAAGGGTGAGTGGCCAGGACCTCAGATGCCTGCAATCCCAGCTCCACCAGCCCCGGGGAAGGTGTAATTAAGGTGCACAAGAGCAGATGTGGCCTCATTTTACACAGGCCACTGATCCTGGAACCTTTGAAGCCAAGCATCCGGGGCCCTTTAGTGGTGTCCTTTACTTTCTGAGACTAGTTCACTGCCAAAGTGAGCACAACATGTGTGGGAAATGCCTAGACGGAGTGGATGTCCACAGCTAGGAAGCATTAGTGCCCTTCCAAGCTCTACCTAGGTACCATCAACCTAAGAGCTCCCAGCTGTGTGAAGTGACTAACCTTGGTCCAAGAACTCAAGTTTTATTCTTCCCCCAGGAACACCCAGGATGAATGATGAGATGGCACTATCTAGAAGCAATTAGACGCATTATGGTTAGTTGGCAAACTACTTCATGATTTAGGAACTAGAAATTTTATACAAAACTCAATGTTTAATGTCTTGAGTTTGAACCACCATCCTACAATCTGCCTGCTCTTCATAAGGCGTCTGGAGTTGAGACATCACTGTGCCCAAGGTTACACATTCCCTGATACTCCCAATTCACATCATGGCCCACCACCTAATGTTACCTCTTTGCCTCTCCAGTCCTGAAGGCATTTTACTTGAGGCCCTGCAGTAGATTCAAGTAGATGCAACCCAGATGACCTCACAGAGAATTTGGCCATGGGGAGCCTCAACCTATCACTTCTTCAGAGTCTGCCTTGTTGCAGTGTCATTTCACCCAAGTCACAGTCTGCCGAGAGCAGCTCGTTTTTGGTGTTAGGTGAGATGGGGACATGAGGGCCCTGCCATAGACACATGAGAGGCAGTGTGCGTCTCCTGAGTGGGGTTGGCCAGTAGATTCTTTTGACTTAACTCTGGGTTTAATTTTGCTTTCTCCTCTTTCATTTCACAGGAATTATCTACTAATATGTTGTACCCAAAACTTTCTTTAAGCTTCTGGAACATACAACCTGCAACAAGGAGCTAAACTGAGACTAAGACAAGGACAGATTTTTATCAAGACTATCGATAAATAGAAATGGGAGGAGCCATGGTCTCCTGACTCTGAGAGCATGTGTTCCGGTCATGATGGGGACATTTCTTAGATGCACCTCTTCTCTACTCCTGCAATGGGAAATCTGTTGCAACTGGTACAGAAAAGGTTCCTGCAACTGAGAAAAAGTTTGATTGTTTTTCCTCAAAAGTGGGGTCAAAGACAAGAATTTGTGTTACAGTGGTTAATTTAGGATGCAAGTGTGAAAGAAATTACCACAAAGGAGGAAAGGCCATTAGATTGATCTACTGTTGTAACTGCTGCCACAGGCAACAGTGGATGGATCCTCCAGGATCACCAAGAAGTGTCCAGAGCACCTACCAATACTGTTCATCTAAAGGATACTCCTGCCCAGAGACTGGGAATTATCCCCAACCAGAAGCCCCCATGTCTGAGTTCTGTTTTAAACATGAGCCATGTTGATTTCTGCATTGTCGAAGACTGTAGAGACAAAAATGAAAAGTCATTTCATGACTATGGAAGCTGGCAGTAAGCCATTATAATAATGCATAAGTCACAATAGTAAAAGGACTTGTAAACTACAGATGTACTGTGCAAATAAAGGGAATTCTTAACTCTGGTGGTGGGAAGAAGTGAGAAAGAAAACTGCAGGTTTGCTCTGAGGAAAATTATGAAGGGTGAATAGGAGTACAGAAACGCAGAAAAGAAGACCCAATCTGGAGGCAAGACTCTTAGGGGTGTTCAGAGAGCTGCATACATTTTAGCACTTTATTTATTTATTTATTTATTTGCACTGTGCAACCCGCTTCAGTACCTGCAGTCCACCGTCAGGGGTCAGGCAATGGTTCAGGGTCACAGCTTGCTCTGGCATGGGACACACTGAGAGGCATAGTTGGAGAGACCTGCCATAAATCCAAACCCATTTTAGTACTTTAAGTATAGGAAGTTTAGGATGAGAAGGATCAATGGCACAATTGGTGAGAAAAGTAGGCTAGATCTGAGATACTCAAATATCATTCCAAGTCATCTGAATTTTTGCCCTTAGGATTTTTTGTTTGGTTTTTTAAAAAAATATCATGTGGTCACTGTGTTGTACAATTCTACTAATTTCACACATACATTCATATAGCCAACAAATCAGGATACAAAACAGTTCTAAAGCCTCAAAATTTTCTCTTTATAACTACAGCTTCCCCTTCTAATCCCTGGCAGTTACTGAGCTCTTCTCTAGCATTATATTTTTGTCTTCTCATAAACTTCATGTATATTGAATCATACTGTATATTACCTTTGATATTTGCTTCTTTCATTTTACATAATTTGCCCAAGTAGTATAATTGGGTGATCTTTTCTTTTATCCAATAGTTTATCTTTTTTTTAAAAAAAACTACTAAGTAATCTTCCATTATATGCCCACTCACCTGTTGATAATCACTTGGACTTGAGGAAATTATGAATAGAGCTGCTATAGACATTTATGAACTTATTCTGTGTTAACATAAATTTTAATTTTCTAGTAAAAGTATCTAGAATTGACATCATTGTCATCTGTTAAATGTACATTTAATTTTTGAATAGACATCCAAAACATTTTCCAGAATGGTGGGTGTGCCTTTTGTTTTCACATGAATAATGTAAGAGAATTCCTGTTACTCTGTATCTTAGCAGCATTTAAATGCATTTTTTTGTCAGTCATTCTAATAAATATGTCATGATTTGCCCAAAAGACTTTAAGCAAAGGAGTTACATGATAAAACCTGTGGTTGAAATTAACGGAAAGAGAATTGTTTAAGAGAATAATGCCATAGATAGATAAAAAAAAAAAAACACTGATGGTTTGGATAGGGTGAAGGAAATAAAATTAAAGAACATTGCAGAGATGTTCAGAAAAGAACCAACAGGATTTAGGATTGAGGAATGGAATCTAGGTAATGCATCCAGACCCCTGAGAGTAAGTTAAAATTCCACTATAAAGGGTAAGGGTGGGAGATGGTTGCCACCTGTGAACCCTTGTGCAAATGATTGCACTAAATAGTTTGACTCCACTTACTTGGGGGAAATTTACATCTTGCTCTGCTGGGGCAGACATATCTATCTACCAGTCTCTGCTGGAAGAATTATAAACCTGCCAATAGTCAGCATTTAGGAATGACCTTTGCTTGCTATAAAAATGAATGAATGTGTCCTGCTCGTGAATTAGATGAAAAAAAAAGGGCAGGGGAGATGAAGTTGAGAATAAAGAAGAAAATCTCACCAAATACCAAATATCATAATGCTACCTCCTTCTCAAAGGCAAATAAACATTATTTTTTCCTCTGAATTAGTGATGGAAGTTTGGGGGATTGTTTACCTTTGGTTATAGTCGCTTTTAAGACCTTAAGGGAAGTAACCAAATTTGAAGTTTCAGTTAAAACAAAATGGGAATACCAAGAAAGGGAAATGCCAATTGTAAGTTCCCACTGTGACAGATTTTTGATGTAACATACTTGCATTTAGTGTGGTGTTGGATAGGCGTGGTGTCAACATTAGCCTCCTCGTGAAAAAGGGATAACCACACATCTTGAAGGTCAAGATGTCAGGTTCCAGGTCCAAGATCCCAGTTTCCTGAGTTTGTACAGTGCTGGTATCCACCATGGGAAAATATGGTTGAAAAGTCCTTAGATAGTTCCCTTCTTCTCATCCTTCTCTAAGAGCTCCAAATACTATACTTTATGGGAGAATTTTCAAACCTTCTTCATGTCTTTGCATTTATGTTAAAGGTAAAGGTAAAGGCCCTCCCGTTGATCGTCGATTTGCTCGAGCGGGCCCAGTAACGTCTCCATTGGAGACTTTGTTGTTACTGTGTCTGGCATATCGAATACTCTCGGTAGCTTGCCGGGCTCTCCGAGAGGGGCAGAGGAATCGAACTCGGGTCGGCCATGTTGGACGCTTGTAAGGCGAACGCCCTAGCCGCTGTGCTATCGCTCCAGCCGCTGTGCTGTCGCTCCAGGCATTTATGTTAGCCTCACAAAAACTCAGTATTATAATCCCATGTTTCCATGGAGAGTTCAGAGAAGATTAATGACTGTCTAAAGGCACATATCAGAGTAGGTGTAGACCTGAAATAAAAAATCAAGTCCTCAGTTTCTTCCACATCCAGAATATGTTTTCAGCAAGCCTCATCACTCTCTTTTAGTTAAAAAATTGCTTCAAATCCCAAAGCAAATTGGATGCAGGAACATTCCTTACTGTTTGGTTAATCCATGTGTGAGATTGGCAGTTTCCCGGGTCCCATCCCACTTTATAAGAACTGCTCCTCCAACCTTTTGTTCCTATGGTTACAAGAAGCTATGTTTGTGCAATCGCATAGACATTATTTACCCATACCTGATTGGTTCACAGTAGACACCTGACCCACAATAAGCCAATCAGTTTCTGTTCTGTGGCTTTAAGATTATGACTGAGGAAGTAACAGTCTGTCTCAAGACCTTTGATCTTTGACCGTCTCTTCTGCTACATGGAATAGGAAAATAGCATCCATCATAAGAGAGAAGATGCTAACATACAAGATATGGCCAAAGAAATTGAGCTGGTGAAGATAAACTGTCAGGAGTTCTCCAGGAAAAAAAAAAAAGCATTCATGTAAGACAACTGTGGGATTCCAGAGTTTGTCTTAATGACATATCATATGAAGTTTTGGTATTCATTTCTTTATAGTATTTGTTGCTACGTGAAAAAAATTGTGGAAAAGTTTAGTACCTCCAATTGATACCTCTTATTTTCTTTCTTTTTTTTTATTTTTAACCTTATCAGAATAGATTCTTGTAGCTTGAAAGAGGGAAAAAGAAAGGTTTGATGAATACAGATCCTTTTGCTTTTTTTTGGAGAACTGATCAACCTCTGAAAGTATGGTAGCACTGTAGCAGTGTAGCACTGTACTCCTGTTGTTCATCGTTTTGCTCGAGTGGGCCCAGTAACGGCTCCATTGTGAGACTTGTTGTTACTGTGTTTCGCATATCGAAAATGTCACGGGTAGCTTTCCAGACTTTGCCGTGCAGTTGAGATACTCTCGGTAGTTTGCCAGGCTCTCCGAGAGGAGTGGAGGAATCGAACCTGGGTCGATGGCATCGGCTGCATGCATAGCAAACATCCTACCCACTGTGCTATCACTCCAGCTCAAAGTATGGTAATTTGTTTATTTTCTTCTTCCTTCATTGTGAAGTTATTTTCTTTAGAGAAGAATGCTTGCCTTTCCAAATATATTCCCAGTGCCTATCATTCTCTCTTCACATAGTAGATTCTCAAGACATAGTAAGCAAATAGTTAATTGGATATATAAACTATGAAATATTCAATATTAAGTGGAACTTATTCCAGGAATTCTAAAATTAATAATACTTTTATTTAAAAATACCATCATATCAATAGATGCAGAAGAGGCATTTAAGAAGACTAAGCATCCTTTATAATTGAAAAAGCTCAGTGAGGGTCAGAGAGATAATATAAAGATTTAGACACTTTCCTTGCACATCACCAACTCTGGTTTGATTCATGTACCACATATGGTCACCTGAGCACACGAACAGGAGTGATCCCTAAGCACAGAGCTAGAAAGCAGCAGACAGCTGGGTGTGACCTAAAAGCCAAAAAAGAAATTTAAAAACTCAAATGGGGTTAGAAGAAACATAATCAACATAGTAATGGCCATATATGACAAACTCACAGCTTACATCATACTAAAAAACTGAGAAACTTTCCTCTATCAAGTAAAAGACAAGATGCCCACTGTTATATCTCTCATCCTTATTCCATGAAGTATTTGAAACCCTAGTCTGAGAAATTAAGCAAGAAAAAGAAATAAAAGGGCTGTAAACTGGGGGAAAAAAACAAAGAATATTCCATGTGCATGTATTAAAATAATTAGCATTGTTAACATAGCCTTCTTACTCAAAGCAATATACATATTTAATGTAATCTCTGTCAAAAGTCCTATGACATTCATTAAAGGAAATAGAACAAGTATTACTGAAACCTTTTTTTTGAAACACAAGCAAATCAACCTGAGCATAAATAAAAATGGAAGTTTTATACTGCCCTGACTACAAAGTGATAGTACTCAGCTTGGCTAAAATTTAAGACAAAATCAAAGAATCTGGAGTGAAATAAATTCTGCTGAGTAAGCTAAGTCCAAAGGGGAGAAACAGATACAAAATGACTGCTCTCATATGTGGGATAGAAACATAGTAAGAACTGTGACCAAAGGCTAAAGAATCTGAGAACTTGTCTACAGAACTGAGCCTACCATGGTGGGGGGTGGGATGGCAGGGTATGGGAAGACAGTAAGTTAATCAGGAGCACTCTGGTGGAGTGTGTGGTATTGTAAAACTGTATTATGAAATCCTGTGATTGGGTTGTTGATAGTATTGTAAATTATGGTGCTTAAAATTTAAAGTTTGTCCTACTTTGGACAAACTTGCAGGCTATCGAATGTAGCCTGCCCACAGGGCAGAGTCTGGCAAACTCCCCGTGGCGTACCAAATATGCCAAATACCAGTAACAATGATGGGTCTCATTCTCCTAAAGAGCCTTGAATATAATCTCAGGGTTAGGATGAAAGAGACGTTACTGGGGCCTGCTCGAGGCAATCGACGAATAACAGGATGATGAAATGAAATGAAAAATGAAAATTTAAAAATTCTTCTTTAAGCTTCTGCACCTCAAAAGAAACAGTGACCAAAATACAAAGACAGCCTACAGAATGGGAAAGAATATTCACCAAATACACATCCGACAAGGGGTTGATTTCAAGGATATACAAGGTACTGGTTAAACTACACAAGAAGAAATCACCCAACCCCTTCAAAAAATGGGGCGAGGAAATGAATAGAAACTTTCGCAAAGAAGAAATCCGAATGGCAAAAAGGCACATGAGAAAATGCTCTACAT